AAGTTTCGTTTGAAGAAACTATAAGTATTCTGTCAAAAATATTTGACGAAAGGAATAGTCTGTTCCACACGCGATACAGATGCCTAAACATTGTTAAAGCAGATGACGAGGATTTTGTGACATACGCGGGAACAGTGAACTCTCTGGTTGAACAATTCAAGTTAGAAGAAATAACCAAAGATGTATTCAAGTGCCTAATTTTTCTTCAAGGACTAACTGATCCTAAATATAAAGAAATTAGGTTGAGAATATTAATAATGGTCAAGCAAGACTCGAAAATAACATTACAAAGGGTGACCGAAGAAGGCCAACATCTCATAAACGTAAAAAGGGATAATATACAAATTGAGGAGAAAAGTGTTGCTAATGTTCGACATATAAAAACTCGAAAAACTCCAAAAGCCAAAAAGATAGAAAAATGTGAGACGTGTGGAAAAAATAACCATACCAAAGATACGTGTTGGTACAAAAATAAATTCTGCCAATCGTGTGGAAAAAAAATCATACCAAAGACGTGTGTTGGTACAAAAATAAATTCTGCCAATCGTGCGGAAATAAAGGGCATAAATATACGGTTTGCCGAAAGAAAAGAAAATTACAAGATTTAAGCCTGGTATTATCAGAAAAAGAAATTCAGAAAGGTAAAAATAGAAAGTACGTAGATGTACATATAAATAATCATACAATTACTTTCCTATTGGATTCTGGTTCAGACATAAGCATCATTGATGAACAAACATGGAAAAATATTGGAAGACCTAAATTATCTAAAACCAAAAAAACCGCTAGAGGGGTTTCAGGAAAGAAATTAAACTTTATGGGAGAATTAAAGTGCGATATTTCGTTATGTGGCAAGACTGCAAAAATGAAAGTGTATGTAATCCAAGGGATTAATTCATGTCTTTTTGGAATAGACTGGATAGTACTTTTTGATTTGTTTGAACTCCCGATTAACTCATTTTGCAACGTAATAAACAGTGCAGAAAAACAAAAAAATATTAAAAATGAAAAATTCATAAATGAATTAAAAGAAGAATATCCCAGAGTTTTTTTTTTCTGAGGGATTGGGTTTATGTACTAAGACGGAAGTCAAATTTGAACTCAAGGAAAATGTGAAACCAATTTTCAAACCTAAGAGAAACGTTCCTTTTTCCTCCTTAGACACAATTAATAAGGAATTGGAAAGACTTGAAAAAATGGGAGTGATATCTAAAGTTGACCATTCGGATTGGGCCTCGCCCACAGTTTATGTTAAGAAGAAAAACGGAAAAATAAAGAGTGTGCGTAGATTTTTCAACAGGGTTAAATGATTGCCTTAAAAATCACAGTTATCCACTACCTTCACCAGAAGATATTTTTTCAAAATTGAATGGTGGGAAGATTTTTTCAAAAAATCGACCTGTCTGACGATACTTGCAGATTAAAGTGAGTGACGAATGCTCGAAATATTTGTGTATAAATACACATAAAGGTATTTATAAGCTAAATAGGCTTCCTTTCGGCTTAAAGGTCGCCCCAGCTTTGTTTCAACAGGTGATGGACACTATGCTGGCAGGCCTTGAGTTTGGAACCGCCTATTTAGATGACATTCTAGTCAAAAGTAAGAATGTTCAAGAACATAAAACGCACATCAGAGCGATATTCAAAAGACTAGAAGATTTTGGTTTTAAATTAAGCCACGAGAAGTGTAAATTCTTCATGGAAAGAATTACATACCTCGGACAGGTGATAGACAGTGAAGGCAGGAAACTGGACCCACAGAGAGCTGATGCAATTAAGAACATGCCTGCACCCGACACAGTTGCGAAACTACAATCGTTTCTGGGGTTTGCACAATATTATGCAATCTACATACCTAAAATGTATGATTTAAGAGCCCCCCTTAACGAATTGTTAAAAGAAGACAAGAAATGGTTTTGGTCAAAAGATTGCGAGATGGCTTTTCAGAAAATAAAAAAATGCCTACTCTCAGATCTCGCCTTAGCACATTATGATCCTGAGAAAGAGATCATTCTGGCAACTGATGCAAGTTTGTACGGAGTGGGTGCTGCACTGCTACACAAATATGAATATGGCACTACTAAACTGATCGCGCACGCGTTGAGGACTCTTCTTCCGGCTGAAAAAAATTATAGTCAGATCGAGAAAGAGACTTTGTCGATTGTGTTTGGGGTTAAAAAATACCACCGTTTTTTACATGGTAGATCATTTGTACTTCAAACGGACCATAAACAGTTACTTACAATATTTGGAGGTAAAAAAGGCATTCCTACGCATACAGCTAATCGCTTACGGCGATGGGGTGTAACCCTGCTTAATTACCATTTTAGGATGGAATACGTCAAATCTAAAGAACATGGGCATGCGGATGGATTGTCAAGGCTGATTCCAAAAAATGAAATGTTAGAAGAGACGGTTATAGAAGCATTAACTGAGGAAAAAGAAATATCAGGTCTCTTGTTGAATACAATCAGGGAATTGCCGGTAACGTTGGACCAAATAAAAAAAGAAGTGGAAAAAGATCACTATATTGTGAAATTAAGGAACCAGACGAGATGGAACAAAAGACAGAAAAAAGGAACTCAGATTTCACCTTTTTCAATTTGCGACAACACATTGATGTACGCAGATAGAATTGTTATACCTCAATCTCTACGTATAGATATGCTGAAAGAATTTCATACCGGTCAACCTGGAATGTCTTGGATGAAATCACTCATGCATGGTTACGTATACTGGCCAGGAATGGACAAGGATATTGAAGGTTTTGTAAGACTATGTAGAGGTTGTCAATTGGCTGCAAGGGCACCTCCGGTCAAAATGAATCCTTGGCCGAAAACGGATTTGCCGTGGGCACGTCTATATATAGACTATGCTGGACCAATTAATGGGCACTATTATTTGATATTGGTGGACTCTTTATCGAAATGGCCTGAGGTAGTCAAGTGCAAGCATCCTACATCTAGGAACACCATCAGTGCATTGGATGAAATTTTCAGTCGTTTCGGGGTTCCCAGAACATTGGTTAGCGACAATGGTATGGAGTTCACAAGTATGGAATTTAAGGATTTCTGTACTGCCTTAGACATTGAACACATAACTACACCAGTGTGTCATCCCAGGTCGAATGGTCAAGCCGAGAAATTTGTTGACACTTTTAAACGTGCTTTACGTAAAAAAATAAAGGTATGGACACTGAAGAAAGAACTATTCAAAAGTTTTTAGCAATCTATAGGGTAACTCCTAATGAGAACAACGATGCGAAAATGTCACCGGCGGAAATTATGTTCGCAAGGAAAATTAGATCAATTTTCGATAGATTGTTACCCTATCAAAACAAAAAAGTTGCTAAGAAAGAGGAAAAAGTCAACATAAAAAAATACACTTCAGGAGACAAAGTTTTTTTTTTAAATTTTAAAAGTGGAAAAAGCTATTGGATGGATGGCATAATCCAGAAAAGGATTGGTAAAGTGGTCTACATGATTAAAAGTAAAAAATTTACGTGTAAAAGAGACATCAATCAGATTAGACCACGATATGGTGAAGAAAGTGAAAAAAGTGAAGAAGAAATTCCGATGGAAGTGTTATGCGATGCTTTTAACATGACACTACCCAATAGTGTATTTGAACCTGTATTGTATGGACCAGCCTTACAGGCTGAAAAGTGGAAATTATCTTCGCCAAAAAAGGATCAAATTGTCACTAAAAGAAGGAGCACACAGGAAAGAAAACTAGTGGAGCGTTTTAGTCCGGATCCAAAAAGAAGACGACATTAGAAGCAGAAATTTTCAAAAGGGAGAATTTCAGCTTCGGGGGGAGGTGTTGTGATGAGATAACCCAACTTCCCCATTCACGATAATGGACGGACTGGTTGCCGATAAAGTACGACCGCAGTCAAGAGTAGGGGAAAAAAAAGGTCTTCGTTTACTAACGCCATTGCGGTTAGCTTACTCCTGACTCTGTCTCTGTATTTTGATATACCTACATCCGATTATAAAATTATTATTGAAAACCACACTCGGGTTTACTTTGTTTATTATATCTTGCACGAGATATAACACAAAGTCAGAGAAGAAATCGGGATAAGGAAAAAAAAGGGAGTAACGTTGCTATTTTGATTTATGATTCCAATTCATCACATCTGTTATTGTGTTATAGGAAAAGATATAACTAGTTTATCAAAAAAGAGACAACATGATATATAACAAGAAATTACACCCAATAAAGACTCCCACATAGAAGTGAACAGTAAATGATATTGTCTGAGTTTATAATTATCTTGTATTTTTTTTTTATGACCAGCAATAAAGAAGTATTTTCAAAACGGCCACCCACTTGACCAAAAAGAAGAAAATGAAAAGCTTTCAGGAACCAGTGCCACTTGGCCAGAAGCAGAAAGGTTACACTTGCAGACATATATAAAACAGTGACAGAATGAGAGGAAAGTTCTGATGCCATCCATTACAGAGTATTTCAACCCACACATGGACAAGTTACCAGCTGCACTCTAGGGTGCACACATTGGCAAAAGTTGGTAGGAGAGAGTCTAAATTCTCTCCCTGGTTGTAGGGAAAATCTGAGCCACTAGTCTGTCATATTAGAAGTTGTCCCAGGGGTCACCTACCTACTCACCTTGCAGATAATGCATGTGAATAAATGACCAAATACATTGGAAACAAGATTTGTATCTTCCTTTCTCACTGTGCCATCAATTTCATCTTTCATTTTCTTTGTGAATGTACACCAGACTTTTCCTAGTTTTTGTGCACACCAATATGAATGAGAACGGAGACACAATGTTGGGGATAATGTATCTAATCAGTGGAAGACTGACAGAGGGACCTATTCTATGCTTACAGTTTATTTAAAGAACTTTAACCTTTATCCTTTTCAGTGTCATACTGAGACCTTCATTCTAAAATGAAGAACTTTGGTCATTTAAACTGTGATGTTGGAAATGATAAATAAATTTTTGAATTTGAAATTTAACTCACACTCACCTGTTAGAAATCCGAATGTAATGTAAAGCAGTATAAGTTTTTCACAGAAAATTGCCCCAATCATGCTGGCGGTAGACAGTATAGCTCCAACGATTGTCACATGGCCATATTCAAATTTCGTTACCATGTAGCTGACTATTGGACCTGAAAAGATGGCAAAAAACGAATTTAATCATTCATGAGTAAAGGTATGTTTTTTTTTAATTTTGCAAAGCACTTTTCAATTTTTTTTTTTAACTGAGATGAATTATCATTCATCATTCTTAGATCTGTAGCTTTGTCAAAGATAATTTTTTTTATCTTATACCTTGACTTTCTGAACAAATATCTGTTGTCACCCCCAACCCCATTTTCCCGAGTGATAACAAGTAAGGATAATGCCTGCAGTGTTAAATAAAGATTTTTCATTTTTATATAATCTTGAGAATTTCTCAAGTGATAATAAAATGAAAGGATTACAAAAATTTTTTTTCTTCTACTTATATATATATATATATATATATATATATATATATATATATACAAATATAAATAACTAGACTCGTTTCGAAAAACCCTCAAATTTTTGATTTGCAAATAATCAAATCAATCTCAAGGGAAAAAAGGTTTTTAAAAAGAAAGAGCTACAAACATGAACTTCTGCCAACAAAAAAAATCACACAGATGCAGGTCTGAAGCCCAAAGAAAAAAACCCCGATACGAGTAAACAACTAACTAACAAAAGTGCTCAATACAACTGTAGAGCAGACCTAGATACACCTAGTGAGCCAGACAAACTTATTTAGGTTTCACCTAAACGGATCGTCAGAGAAAGTAAAGCCTTACTTTCCCCTGACGATCCGCTTAGGTGAAACCTAGGTAGGTTTGTCTGGCTCACTAGGTGTATCTATATATATATATATATATATATATTATAAATCAATTGATTTAAAATATGGTTTTTTTTTCGCTACACAGTTCTAACCATGTTTCAAAAAAAAAATGGAAGCTAAAAGCTCCAAATTTAATTTTGTAATTAAATTAAAGACATTAGTTCCATTTCATCCTCAAGCGAATTTGGACTCCAAAATTTGCTTATAAAATATATAATATATAATATATATATATATATATATATATATATATATATATATATATATATATATATATATAAAATAACATTCAAAACCAGTTACAGACATGTTTACATGTTGATCCAGATTCTTTTATGCCCTTCTGATCTTGAAATGAACCCAATTGTCAACTCTGATGAGTTTAATGTTAAAACTTCTCTATCTTTCCAAGGAAAAATACAAACACAGTTTACAGACATTAAAGAAAAAGCTGTGAAGAACCACAAAAGGGACAATATGGTACCTTTGTATTTTTGCCTGTTTCACCATCAAAATGTTCTTATTACAAGTGACTGCAAAATCTGTCAAGGTCCATTCATGACTGCTCTTGTGCACAATTGTGATATCAAGATGATTGTTCTTCTAGTGCTTGTTAGTCAAGATAGCCATGTCCCACAAGAGCTTCACATGCTCATTCTCAGCTACTGAATTTTTAAAATATTATTATCACCCTATGCAAAGCAGTAAAGCCACTAAGACACAAGGGATTATAGGGTGTAGAAGAATAAGGAACAGAAATGAGCAGAAAGAGAAAAGAATAATCAGGAGGACAGCAGATAGCGATTGACATTGCATTAAAACTTTTGCAGATTAAAGTTGGCTGAAAAGCATGGAGCTGGAAGGAAGTTCCACAAGTGAGAAGTGCAAGAAAAACTGTTAGCATAGAAATTATGGTACAACTCAACTGTAAATTGATGGGATCTTGACACCAGTGTAGTACTGCACTTAAATTCAGAAAGTCCAGCTGCTACAACAAAGAGGTCATCTGAACAATTACCAAGAAAGTATTTATAGAAAAGGCAGAGAGAGGCAACCTTGTGGTGGTGGGAAAGTGACTGAAGTCAAGACACCAGATTGGGACCAACAATATTACTGATTCTTCTTTGGATTTAATTAGGGAGCTCAAAGTAAGTAGTAGAGGCACCGGACCATATGCTATTATTAGTAATTCTCAACTGCATTCCTTTCTCTTGTCTAATGATATTCTTACCTTTTACTGTTATTTCTTATTTTCCTCTCATCTTTTTCCAATTTCTGGAAATTGGAAGCTTATAGGAAGATTCTTACTCCACTTTTTTGTTGGACTTCTTTATAAATTTTCTTGTGTAAAACTTCAAAAAGATTATTTCCACTTAAGCTCTAATGATAATCATATAAAATCAATATTGACATAAAAATTCAATTCCTTTGTTTATTGATCAATTATTGATCATTTGCAAGTGCATTTCTTTCAAATTCTTTATTTTGCCATTGTCTGGGGCAATTAACATACACGTATCAAAGAGAAACAGAACAGCAAATAGAATCACTTCTGATTTAATAATTTTTTGTTTTTATCTTCAAATTTCTGCTCATGCTTTGATTTTTTATATAATTCTATTCTTGAAATTCTCAATTAATTTACAATGAAAGGCTCAAATTACATCTTGCAATTATAGAAATTAATACAAGAACTTGTATCTCAAGAACCTGAATTATCTTAGAGGAATTATATAAGCAGTGGGCAACCAAATTTTAATCATAAATGATTTGAATAAATTAAAAAATTGTGCTATTTAAGCAACTTTAAAATAGCATGTTGTATGCATGTATGATTGAGTTATGTTATTGAATTAATCCACTGTAGTTGACTGAATTGTATAATAATTAACACTGATTAATACACACCTGAACTAGAAAATATAATTATTTATTTATTTTACTTTAAAACTGATTTCTGATAAGATCTGAAACTGATTTTCTCTAATCTTTCTCATATTCTCGAACTGTTCACCAGCGTGCCTGTATGTAATTGTGAGAGTCAGTTTCATTTACAATAGTAAAAGGGTTTGAAACTCTTAGACACTATTCTCTTATAGGCATTGACTTTATTCAAAATAGAGACTGAAAATTACTTTGAAAAATAAATAATGATGTTATATTTTCTAAACACATATCCCCTGACATCAATCAGATGCCTTCTTTTTACTCTGTATAATGACCATTTTGATTAAAGTTTGGATATTCTTGATTTCAGATGAAAACTCGAAAGTTTTTCAACATATTTCAGTGAAATTTTCTCTCCACAAAATTATAGTTTATAATTATAGTTTGGATATATGGCAAACAGAAAGTGTCATTTTAAACTGATGCTTGGAGAACATGGACACTTTTTTCCATACATTTTGATCATTTTACTTAAAAATTTTTCAATTTCAAATGAAAATTTGGAAATTTTTCAGTATATTTCTCTGAAATTTTCACTTTCCAAAATTATAGTTTAGATTGGTGGCAAAGTTTCATCATTTTACAGTTGAAATTGCTAGATGTAACCATAAGTTCTATGCTAACAGTTTCTTTTCCCACACTTCTCATTAGTGGTACTCTCTTCTGGCTTCTTGCTTTCCAGTCAACTTGGATCTTCAAAAATTTAAATGCCAAGTCAATTGTTATCGTTTGTCTTCTTAATTCCTGTTCTTTTATTGTTCGCTCTCCTTTATGTTTATTTTTTTTAATCATATTCTCTAACACTCAGTAACGACTTGCATCTTAGTGGATTTATTTTCTTGCTTGAGGATGAAATGATTAAAAAGAAAAAAGATATAAGGAAAAAGGACAAAGATATGCATTAAACATGCTTAAAATTCCAATATACACAATCATTATTTAAGGATCTATTACTGTACCAATATTTAATTAAACTGAAAGTGTAATCACTAAGCAAATCTTTTATTCAACCCAAAGATCAGATCAAAATGATTGGATATTTTGAATGCCATGTCTTCTGTTCTCTCTTTTGACTGTAAATCAAAAGGTAAACATAATCAAATCTTAAAGGTCAAGATCTTGTCTTTTTATAATTTGTTGGGCAGACTTCATTCCTGCCTTCTTAGTAATGTGAAGTATATCATCAAAATTGATTTTTGATATTATAATTCCTTTATTTTAACTCCCCATTGCCATATCTATAATTCTAAAACCAGTGACATTAATTTTCATAAAATTTTTCATAAGTAAATACAGATTTTTAGAGTTAATGTAAACAGTGGTATATGCCAATGAAGGAAGCAGGTCATTACCCACTGCCTCTTGGATCAATGGTCAAGTACACCATCAGACATCTAGTGGGTTATACTTGCTTATGCTACAAATAGCAGTGAATGCAACACCTTCTCTACAGGTACAGTGTCTCTCGTGTAACAGGTTTTCAATTAAAATACATTCTGAATATCTTCTTTGGCACTGACCCTGCTGGAAAAGTATTAATATAAAATAGACAAATTCTAACATTAATGAGCATTTTTCTATCTGAAAGAGATTTGGTAAAATGAATATATGTTGCAAAAATTGAATTAGCATGATCAGATATCATTACTGGTAATAAATGCTAATATATTTCCAGTTGTATAAAGTGCACACTTTTTATTTTTAAGTTTACCTCAAAAAAAAAACACCCTACCTCTGTTGGTTGTGTTTGGGGTGTAGTTTAACACATAAACACTTGTTTGACACTAATGACCCCAGAATTAATTATGTATGATGGAGAATTAAATTATAAGAAATTAAAATTGTTAAAATATTTAAAAAATAAAAATTCTGTTTGACATACAAACCCCTAATAATACCAAAATATATATGATTATCTTAGGATTACAAATGAAATAATGTTAAAATATTTAAAAAAAAATTAAAAAATATTGTGTTTTACACACCAGTCCCTTCATTTATTTTTATTAAGTTTGGGGTATTTTTTTCATCATGTATGGCCATGTTTTAGTGAATCTTTGGACGTACCTAAATATGATTATAAATTAAATGATTAAATTTTGATTACAAATCAAAATAATGTGAAAATAATGTGAAAATATACAGGGGTGGAAAAGTAGGTATACAGTTATGAAAAACAAAACATTTGCACAAAACATTGATTATATTGATTATACAAACATATGAATCCCTCAAATGTTAAAACTGTTTGTCATTCACACATTCCTCTTTACCTGCAAAACATTTTATTTGTGAAAAAATAAAAATGATAATAAATATATTATC